GAAATCCAGACTAACAAACAATAATAAACAACAAAACCAAAACCTAAATCCGCCATTTTGCAAATCAGACGGACTCAGGCATAAACTCCCGCCTTTTTAGAGGTCAAATCTTAAAAAATGAAAAGAAAAATTCAAACATCGAACACCCGGCGATGCTCCGCCCCATAATCTATCTCTGTCGCTCATTCGCCGTCCTTGTCTGGGGCTTTGAAATGCGAGATAGCTTTTGTTATTTGAGTAGTCGACTTCGTGTAGTGAGGGTGTCACAGTAATTGAAAAAAATATTTCTAATTATTATTATTTTTAAATTTTATTTTTAACAATAACTTTAATGTTGTGTGATTAAGTGTTGGTGGTTGGTTTTTTTTGTGTCTTTCGGAGTGTTTTGAGGGTAAGTTTCTGTTTTCTATTTTTTAATAGATACGTAAAGTGGTTTGTTGTTTTTTTAAAACCTGCTAGGAATATTATAGGAGTAAAAAAATAAGAAAATATTTTGTATCGTAGCTTGCTTCATTTTTTGCCGATAGAATATTTCGTAGAATATTTTATTTCGTAAGTATTGGAATATTCCGTAATATGAATAAAAGTCAAATAGGTATTATTATGATGCATCCTTTAAAATAAATCCTTAATTAGGTTACCAAGTATCCTCGGATATTATAGTGAGCATTGCAACTGTGCGTCTGCAGGTTAAGATTTTTTAATGTGACTTAAAAAGCTGGAAAACAATAAATTACAAATTTAGGTAATTTTCATGAAAACAATCACTAAACAAAGTAGGTATAAATTCTAGCGTTTTTTGTTAGAATTACTTTCTTAAATTCATTTACAGAGTTCATATGCATTAATTTTCGGACTATTACTAGGTACTATCAGAGAATTACTAGAAAAAGTTTCTGAAGTTAAATTGATCTAAACAGCCAACAAATTACAACACATTACGAGTTCGAAAATAGTGTGGGAGAGTTATGCTTCAGCATAACGATTGCGACGGCTCGACCGAAGTGATACTACAGTCTCATAGAAACCTGGCGTGAACCAAAGCTTGTGTTTTAAAGTGTAAATCTTGAAATGTTATTTTAATTCATTTCTTGCCTTATACCATAAAAATGAGATAGCTACTATATTCATGCGGAGGTGACTAAATTTGATATTAAATATGTAGTTTGAAGAAACTTAGTTATCCCAGTAGGTATTACCTAAATCCTAAAAGAAAATAACTTGAATGAATTATATGGATTGTATTTTAATTTTAATTGGGGTCTTGGGGCCTGTTCGCCCGCAATTTTTCTGATAAATTTCACAAAAACCTATTAAGGGAAGAGTTTATACATACGCATTTGGTAGGAGTCCAGGCTGCAGCGCAGATATACCTGAGCTTCTTATACTTACTGCAATTCTATGCCATATAGTGGCATATTTTGTTTTGAAGGGAATGACTCAAATTCGCATGACCTCTTTATCTCTTGGTGAGCCGAGAGGATTCTCCGACATTTATTATTGTTTAAAAACCACATAGTTCCAACTTATGCTCCGAGTTGGAGCCGGGCCGCGGTATAGCATAGCTATTGACTCTTAACATGACTGGTATTCGATAACTGGTTGTTTAACTTATTTATTGTCCGAGAGCTCCTTGGAGAGAGTCCACCACAGATAGGGGTCTACTAGGGCCGATGTGCATCCAATTCCAAGAGCTAAAGCAATATTGCTCCGTGGCCCCGGCTCGTAGCAGGATAAGGAACGGGGTAGTTTTTAGTCAGTAGGAGTCTGTCATTCGCTCGGACCTAAGCAGGAGAATGGACGGGTTGGTTTTTATTATGTAAGAGTCTGACATTCCCTCTTCCCCTGGGTAGCATCATTCATTGGATGAAATTCATGCTTAAAAAAATACTTATTTATTGCATCTCGCACGGTTGATCAAATAAGTATATAGCGCTATCATTGTTTTCATATTATAAAAAATATCTTATGTGCACACCTTGGCTCAATTGGGCGCATGAACACTTTATTTGATACAAAATATACGGTGATTAGAATAGAGACTAATTCGTAATTCATAATTAATTAATTCTTTATCATCATTTATTTTGTACGTGATTGTGTGATGTTTTTTTACACAAACTGTTGAACTACTAAAAGCCTGTTTCAAAGTTTAGAATGTAATTAATGGTACCCTGTATTAGAAAGAAAGAAGAAAGAAAAACTTTTCTTAGGTACTTAATACTTTCGACATTTTTGAGCGGGTAAAATCATCCAACGACTTCCCTCGGGCTCCGACACCTAGGACCTGACTACCCGTCAAATAAATATGTCTTTATTAAGTAGAATCTTACGTACTTACACATGGGATTGTGAAAAATATTTTTTACTTCACCTTTCTGTGTTTCCCGAAGAAGATTTTAGATTATAGAATTGAGGCATTTAGGAAGGTTTGGGCCAGAGACTCACACGGCGAATCACGACTCTGTGATTGCTTCACTCCGGGTTTTCTGCGGTGCCGTGGTATAACTTCAGTCGGGCCGGCCCATTAGTGTATAAGAATGGCTCTCCTAGACTTATTGTTATGCTAAAACGTAGCCTGGGTGTCATCAGTAACCAGTTAGTTCAAAGCTTTAGCAAAGGTCATGGCAATGCTTGTATACTTACATTTTTTTAGATTATTTGCCAATAATTAATGTTTGTCCTTTACTGCCGATAGATTACTGTTGAGGGCAAATCCTCCGCTAGCGTGGCCCACATGTTGTCTCCCGTGGATCAACGTGTTAATCTTTTGACTCTTTTCGGAAAACGGAACTTTCAAGAGATATCTAAAGGAAATGTTGACAAAGAAATACCTACTGAATTTATATTATTTAGATACACTTTCCGAAGACTGTGAATCTAAAATAATAGTTGATCACTAGAAGATTTTTCTCAACTATGACCCATGTCAACAAAATCAAAATAAAGGTGGTCTTGGCACTTTCTCAGATTAGAAGCAACTACACTAATAACTAAAGTAATTAACTTTACTAGTAATAAACCAACAAATAACTGGATTGATATGATACTTAATCAAGGATTATATGATTAAGTAACAATTTTTAGGTACGTATTTATTTTCACGGCAAATAAAGTCGCTTTATCTCTCCTGCTCTCTATATCCCTATGTATGCTAAAATCTTTAAAACTATGTAACGGTATTTGATGTGGTTTTTAATAGATAGGGCGATTGAAGAGGAAGTTACTAAAATAGTGAAGAAATTTAGTATCAGTATTGCGCTAGTGCGAAATTGGGGCGGATCACTAGCTAAATACTCCGGAATACCTAATTTAACAAATATAATAAATAAATCAATAAAGGATAAAGTAAAACTTATTTTAATGGCGATAGGAATACCTATTTAGTTTAGTAGAGTTTAAGAAATTTGAATAAAGCTTAATTTCTTATCAGAAGTTTGAAACCATCATTCCGCCTTGAGTAAGCAAGGTGATTCGGCTTCATCTAGTTTTTCATATATAATTTGACGTGTATAAGTGCCGTTTTTATGGCCTATTTGCAAAAATAAATTCATTGTTTCATTGATTAATACTTAAACCTTAATGTCTGTGGGGTAGCCCTTGTCTAGCAGTGGACACTTATAGGTTGATGATATAAAAAAAATAAACAGATTTTATAAACCAAACTGAGAAAACTCAGCATCTAGTAAAATTCTATCCTACAAATGTTATAAATGTAATAGTTTGTATGCATTTATCGCAAAAACTACTGAATAGATTTCAATGAGATTCGGTACAGAGATAGATATATAATCATAATCTAAAATAACACATAGGCTACTTTAAATTCCCATAACGCGAGATAAACCGTAGGCCGAAGCTAGTATGTTGGAAATAACGCGTAAACACGCTGTGACACAAACATTTTTCTTGACATTTTCTAGGAATCACGTGGCTGTAGTTCATATGAAACGATTTTGTTATAAGTACATGTCCGTTTGTCCGTCCGATGTGATATATTGTTATGAAAACAATTCGATCGATATTTTCACCTGACACCAACGAAAAAATTCTGTTTTAAATATGTAATTGCGTCGAAAACGTATGTCATTTACATAGGTAATGGTGACACCGATTATTACCAATATCCGTCGCGTATTTTATATTTTTAAATGTTCGTTTGTTTATTTTTTTTTAATGAAATGCCGATACGGTAACAGGGAAATTGTTGCGTGATTTTCTTTGTTGTTTTGTAGTTTTATGTTGCTATGTATTCGAGATGATAATCAAGGTCATATTATTATTAAGAGATCGTGAACGATGAAAACGAAAATTTTTATTAAACTTATCATATTGGTATAGTAAGATGTTAGTTGTTGATCAGATGTCTTATATATACTTACTTAGGAATAACATAATTATGTTAGTTAATATATGAGCTTCTGTAAGCGGATTGGCCAGCGGCCATTTTCATCGAAATCCATCCAGTAGGTTTTAGGTATATGATAGAGTAACAAATATCTTTCCATCCATCCATCCATATTAATTAGATAACTTTCGCGTTTCTAATATCAATTCTACTTATATGAATAATTGATATAAGTATAATTGGGTAGTTTCCTATGTCAAAAATAAATTAATTCGACGTTACAATACGATAAAATATTGTAAAATAACTAAGTATACTTTTATTCATCGATCGATACACTGAATTTTAGATAATTTTTTAGCTAATTTTTGACGCAAAAAAACTATGACGTCATAACACACTTTTTCATACAAATTTCATAGAAAAGTATTGTTTTTGACATTGGATAAAAGTATTGAATTTGACTTGTTGGAAACTGCCGTATTCTACTTAGATGGGATTGACCATTGTTTACACGCAATGTATTCGGATCAGAATGAATTAAGATGTTTTAGTTTTTAGTTTATAAAAGTAAATAAGTGTTTAACAATAACATTTTTACAGGTCTCAGAAGAAGTGAAGTTTTCAAGATTCTGTGATGAAATCCACAAATATGGAGACTTGCTCCGACCGCCTTAGTCCGTCGAGCGACTTAACGAGCGAGTCGGAAACATCTCTCCCGCCATTTCCCTACGACAATCAAAATGGAAACTTCTATCAAGCAGAATTAAACGAAAAACAATATTTTTCATGCAAACAAAAAGCAAGAAATGAAGAGAAAAGCCCGAAAGATATTTACTTACAAGAAAGCAACAAAATGACATTTGAGAATTACCTTTCCCCGCCAAGAAACAAGAAATATTTGAATTTCGAACTCAAATTGCCGCCAACGAACGACAATATTTTTTCGCAAATGGAGGCCGACAATCGAATGCGTTCAGGTTACTTCAATGAGGTCCAGGATCTAAAGAGTTGCGTTCAAAACGAGAATAATCCAAATTTGTCGGAAATGAAGTTGAATCAGCAGATTTTTGACTATGTGAACGTTAACGAGAGAGTGCCACAGACGTATTTTGCTGAGAATGAGAACAGTAATCTTCGGTATTTGAATTTTAACTCGGAACAAGTGCAGTGTGTTTGTGAAGCTTTGCAACAAAAAGGTGATATTGAGAAGTTGGCTGTGTTTCTAAGGAGTTTGCCTGATAGCGAACGACTTCGAGCTCATGAGACGATATTGAGGTAAGTGCTATCATCACTACATAGTATAAAACAAAGTCGCTTTCTCTGTCCCTACATCCCTTTGTAGGCTTAAGTCTATAAAACTACGCAAAGGATTTCGATGCGGGTTTTTTAATAGAAGTGATTGAAGAGGATGTTTGATATGTATGACATTCATTAAAAAATTGTGAGGAAATTTAGTATCAGCATTGCCTGTGTTAGGTCGCTATTATTTATATTAATATAAAGAACTGAAGCTGCCTATGGTAAAGGTATACGGTTTAAAGTAACCAATAAAGTTATATACTTATTATCTTATCGATCTTACACTATTTGCGAATTTGTTTTTAAATAACAGATAATTAAACTTAACCAAGGGACAAAACACATCCTTAAGAATATAACGGGAATATAAAATATAACGGGAGCAAAGTGACAAACTTTGCTCCCGTTATATTCTTAAGAATGTTAAATTTAACTATTTTATTTATTTATTATGGCTAATATTCTGTTGATAATCTGATGGAAATCTATCGGCGTTGTACCTAGACACTAGACACATTGGGGATTGGGGATTTAGAGATTTGGAGGTACTATAGAGATGGGAATAGGGGCAGTGGGGGACTGAGATTAATTTAAGTACCTACTAAAATTTTCTATTTCGCAGCCCCACCGTAACTTACCCTTTTCAATTCACTTAGGAAAAAACATTTTGGGATAAAAACTAATAGTATATAACCATGGCTCCTTCTTTTTAGGGCACGAGCGCTAGTAGCCTACCACAAAGGTGTATTCAAGGAGTTGTACGCGATCCTGCAAGCGCACTCTTTCCCGCCCAGACACCATACCGCTCTACAAACTCTATGGTTCAAAGCGCATTATTTGGAGGCACAGCAAGTGAGGGGCAGACCTTTAGGTGAGATATTTTTTTAATTATAAATTTTTTAATATTATATCGAAAGAGGTAAGTATGTAGCGTAATCCTTTTAGTGTTTTTAGGGCTGATTTTTGAATAGTCAGATTAATGTTGTCTGAAGAGTAAAATTGTTGCTGTCCCTGTCTTATACAAACATTCTGACGCGACAGCATCATAATTATTCCCCAGATAACTTTTATCTAACCATTGAAAAATCAGCCCTTAACAGAATAGAAGGGTACGTTAGAAGATGGAATAATAATAATTAACGTTTAGCAATCAGCGTCGCTCAAGAATTTTTTTTGAGATAGGTCGACAAACGAGTCGACGTATTACCTGGCGGTAAGCAATCGGCGCCGCACATATACACCACAACATCGGAGAAGTTACGAGTGCGTTGCCGGCCTTTTGAGATTAGGGTTTCGGAGATTTAGGGATTGGGGTAGGGAAATGGGATTGGGCCTCCGGTCTCACAAGGCGAAACACAACGTTAGTAAAGCTCCTGTGTTTAATCTATAAGTCAAGTTTTATAACATTTTTCTTTAATACTTACTAAAATAATTCTTGAATTTTAGGTGCCGTAGATAAATATAGACTAAGAAAAAAGTATCCACTTCCGAAGACCATTTGGGACGGCGAAGAGACCGTCTACTGTTTTAAGGAAAAGAGCAGAAACGCTTTGAAAGACTGCTACTATAGGAATAGGTAAGATATTATTGTTTTAATTAGTTATAATGCGGTGCATGAAATGATAAATCAACATTAGTTATTGCCTCAGAAAGTAAAGTAAAAGGTACAGGCTTCAAGCAATACAAGTTGCACATTATTCTTGCGTAGATATTCGGAGTAAAATATACAAATACAGATGCCAGGATCCCGAGCGTACGACGCGTAGCGTTCCGCGCGCGCCTCAAAGACCCAATAGACCACCACAGACGGGGCTCTATAGGGCTGATGTTCAGCCGGGGTTGCGGGGTAAGCGCAATGAGGCAACGCGACCTCGGCCCCGAGCAGGAGAAGGAACAGGGGTGTTTTTAGTCAGTAAGAGTCTGACACTCCCTCTCGCTCGGCCCTGGGCGGGAGAAGTCATTTGATGATTTTCCCCTCACAAAAAAAAGATGCCAGGATATGCCAGCCCTATCTCCCATAGGAGTTCTAATACAACTTCTGAAATACGCGCTTAAAAAAATCTTATAGACTCAACGTTTTTCTTTATGTTGACAAAGAAATATAATTTTACTAATTATCTACTTATTAGGTACACTTTGTAGTTTAAAAATGTTTTTAATTACCTTTAATCCTTCCACCAAGGTATCCAACACCCGACGAGAAGAGGGCATTAGCTCAGAAGACGGGCCTAACCCTCACACAGGTCTCCAATTGGTTCAAGAACAGAAGGCAACGGGACCGGACTCCACAACAGCCGAATAGACCGTAAGTATACTAGTCTACTGGTCTTTTCTAAAATTGGTCTACTAGTTTTTATAATAACTACCGTGAGACGTACTAAATGAACTAAAAATCGCTCTACTAGTTTAGTACTAGCTGCGTCCGCGCACGCTGCTCATGATGAAAACCCCTCTGTGGTTCGAAACTAGTAGAGTTTTTCTCAATATTAAACACGTGAGTAATTCGCGATTTATAGTTAATTGGTCTTCTCGTCTTTACCTAGGGTTTGTACCTTCTCATGTTGAAAGTTATTATGATAGGTATTAATGTGAAAGTAGGGTGATCCATTAAAAATCGGATTGTCAATTTCAGATATTATAATGGTTTTGGAAATTTCCGTTATTCTATTACACCAAAAAAACTCTGTTGACTGTAGTCGTATTACGCACTTGATATTCAATTAGTCACTCCAGATTAGGTACCTAATATTGAGATCTTCGCGTTGCATACTTACGTTGCATTCATAATTAGTATTAGCATACGTATATTAAGAGCGAATATGAGAAGCGACAAAATCATAGATCGCGCTCTATTAAAAAAATTTCTTCAAATTGGCCTCGGAGTACCTAATCCTAATACTTGTTTATGAATAAGCTATACCTACTTTTACATATTTTATTTAACTTCAGTTTTAGTTAAAGCTTTTAATAGTTTAGTCCGTTTCAGTTTGTTTAGTTTCTCAGTTTTAGTTACATACAAGCATAAAACTTAAGTATATTTATTAAGCCTATTATACTTAATTCATATATATGCTTTACATATCTACCTAATATGTAGGTAATTAAAAAATGTACTGCATAAAGTTGTACATCTCCAGACTACAAGAAGCCACTGCTAAGCCAAGGTCTCTTATGAAATAGAGAAGCATTAATCTCCCTCTCAAAAATTTGCAGATACTTCTTCTTACTATACAGATAATGCTAGATACTTAGGTGCATCTATACATTTGCTGTCCCAAAAAAAAACAATAGGCGTAAACCTGGTCATTTCTAGAAACCTCCAAATCTCCTCGGACCCACATGTGGCTGTATTTTTCAAAATGTTGACCTTTGTTCTCATTGATTAATGACCCATAATGAGGGTTTATGACCATGAATAGGTTAGTAGGTAAAGAAAAAAAGTATTGGCAAAAAATATTCATTTGTTTTGTTTTATGTTCAGCCGCGCCGGTCAACAGCTGAACATGTGACAACGATTTTAATACGATAGTTTCCAACTATACTCGGAATTTTAATTCCATACCAGATTTGACAAGTACCTACTAAATAGTGACGTTGCGAAATTATTCGATATGGAAATCGAATATTTCCGAATCGATTACTTTCGTTTATAAAACTCTCGTGAACTAAATTTATCAGGAAATTAAATATTTCTGAACCGATTCATTTAGTTTTGACAATTAATTAACGATCTGATACTTTTCTTTTATAATTGTGTGTAAAATTAATAAAAAAATGTGATCTATTATGGATAAATTTATTTTATAAATTATCGCCGTCATCGCTATCGCTATCGCTGTTACTTTCGCTCTACATTTATTCTGAATTGTGTTTGTGATATTTATTGTCAATTAACATATCTAGCTTATCGATTTTGGTGTTCATCACTAATCTGTTATATGTGGTATCATTACAAAATGACAGTGGTTAAAATTCTGACTATAGTCAAATTCAATACTTTTATCCAAACGTCAAAAACGATACTGTTCTATAAAATTTGTATGAAAAACTGAGTTATGACGTCATAACATTTTTTGCGTCACATAGCTTAGGTACTTATTTCTTAATAATTAGCTAAAAAGAAATCTAAAACTTAGTGTATCGATCGATCGATGAATAAAAGTAGGTATAGTTAACTTTATATAAAAATGGATCGCAAAATGTGTTGGTAAGCGCATAACTCAACAACACCTGGACCAATTTTGCTAATTCTTTTTTTGTTGTGTTTGTTATTGTCAGGAGAAGGTTCTTATGAAAGAAAAGTAGAGGGGAGGATTAGGAAAAAGTGACCCTGTGATAGCGATATAGTTGGACCCGTGCGAAGCGGGGGCGGGCCGCTAGTTTTTCAATATTTTATAGTACCTATTGAAACGTCGAATCAATTTATTTTTGACCTAGGAAACTATTGAATTGTGAACGTGACTCAACTGAAATCAGTGGCCATTGTAAGGATATAGGAACAATATTGACTGCACGGGGCTGGGCAACTAACTTACACGGAATGTGACGTGGGTTCGAACAACGTAACCGTAACCAGCTCAGGGGGCTAACCATGCCGGGGTTGTGGGGTACCTAAGCGCAATGAGGCACCGCGACCTCGGCCTAGAGCAGGAGAAGAAACGGGGGGTTTTTAGTCATCAAGAGTCTGACACTCCCTCCCGCCCGAGAATTAATAACAACCAATCAGATGACTTGACAAGAGATTTGACACCTAGTTAGTTGATTTTAACAATGATCGGGCTTTCGGCAACCGGGTGTTAATCTTACTTTGAATGTCATGGTCATGGTTACCCCCCAGAACAACTCTTTAAAAGTAAAAACATTTATTCACATAGAACACAAGTGTTACCATATACCTAATTATTATAATGGTGTACAGTTCAGGCTGTATTTCGTAATCTTAAAAAAAAAAATCTTTGTCTGATTTGAAATGGAACTCGAATTTTTGTCTTGACGCAGCGAAATTTTCAGTTAATTGATCAAACAAAATAATCAAAAAGAAATATTATAAAATAAAAAGTTCTAAGTATAAAAGCAACGCATACACTCTTGAAAACACTTACACATACACACACACACTTTAGAAACACACCCAGAACCCTGATTGCTTACGTTAAGTAAATAAAGTTTTACAATTTATTGTTTGGACTCAAAGCTCCATTGTGTTTCTGAGATGTCGACGTTTTTTCGTCTGAAGGTTACCGTATCGTCGTGCACAGGGCCGCATGTGGCAGGAAATATAGGTCCCTCTTTGTGGTAACCGCGGGGGCCCCATAGTAATGAATGCAAAACTAGTTAGTATTGGATGTTTTGTTACTATTTAATTAATGATTCGATTTGGATATTTATTTGCGCGCATTGTTTTGTAAAGTAGTAACTTGAACAAATTAAATATCGAAATAATTCGTTGTTAATATTAGAGACACGCAAAAATTACACATGGGTATGCTGTTCTTTATTAAGAAACCAAACAAAAATATTAAGTATACATATAGGTACCAATAAGTAAGCATAATAATTGCAATCCGGAAAAAAAGGTTTAGCATTCTAGAAATTAGTTTGATCAATTTCAGGTGCTTGGTAATAATTGAGAATGGATAAAAAAAACTTATTGTTACCGAACGCTGTATCTTAGGGGCCCGATTCAATGATGCCTTAGTGACAAATCCGGCCCTGTGTAATCGGGGCATAGTTATTAGTTATTGTTTAGTATTACTATTGGTTCTAAGTCAGCGGTGTGTTTGATTGTCAAGTTGTTTCCACTTGACTTAGTTTAAAACAATGAACGTCTAAAGTGAGACGATTTTTGGTTCTTAGAACTTTAACAAAAACTTACAATGGTACTCTTTTACTACATTTAAGTATATAAGAGAAGGAAAGATCTTTCAAGTTTATCTACCTTCAGCTAACATAATGATGTAAGAAAGAAAAAACAACAAGAAGAAAGAAAGAAAGAACGGTGTAGTTCCTAGTTAGTCAGTAGTCAGTAATCGCCTGACATTCCCTTTTGCCTGACCTAGGGCTCAATAAGTCATTTGCCGAGCTGAACTGAACTGAAAAAAGCTGCACAATTTTAACATCATTAGCCTATAAGTACCCACCCACTGCTGAGCAAAGGCCTATACTCACACGGAGAAGGTTTGAGCATTAATCATCACGCTTGCACAAGACGGATTGACGATTTCAATCTTATTATTAGAATGTTTTATTCGGTGTTTTCCTTCACCGAATGTCAAATGGTGTCTAAACAATCATAAAAGTACCTACATATAACTCGGAAAAAGTCACATTGGTAATTGCTAGGTTTCGAGCATGAAAAGCGGGCGCCTTAAACTCCGACTCCGGGTCACCAAGACAGTGATTTTTTTATGTGATAATGCGGCAAACGAGCAGGCCTATTAACTGATGGTAAGCAATCAACGCCGCCCGTGGACACCCGCAACAACAGAGCAGTTACTAGTGCGTTGCCGAACTCAATCCGCCAATCAAGGGATTGGGGGAGGGGAAGGATTGGGCCCACGATTGGGCCTCCGGAACCTCACTCACACGGCGAAACACAACGCTGTAGTTGTGTCACGTCGGTTTTCTGTGAAGCCGTGGTATCACTCCGGTAGAGACGACCCATTCGTGCCGAAGCATGGCTCTCCCACACTTATAAATCTTTTAAGAAAGTGGTATAAAAATCTTTTTTTTTTGTTTCAGAGAAATGCTTGTGCCAGCTCAATACGCGGGACCTCAAGGCGGTTTGGCGCAGGCACTACTCCCCAATGCTTATTACCACCAGCTACAAGACCCAACACATTATTTACATGGCGGCGCACCTTAATTGCTACTAAAAAAAAGCAAATTATTACCAGTGTTGAAAAAAAAGTGTCAAATTCTTAGTTAGACTTACCAACAACAGATGGCATTACTGTCGCTTATGTAAAATAGTTTAAATTTCGACTGTGAAAAAATGGTGTTAAAGCTATTTAAACTTTTTAGATTATTGTAAATAGTTAATCTTAGTTTTATGTATACGGATTATAATGATTATGAAAGTTTTATAATTAAGTATATTATTCAATGTCTTCTAATATTTAGTAGCAAAGTTTTGGGTATGAAAGATACCTATTTCAATTAAAAAACTTAACCTCAAATGAGTATTTTGAGGTTAAGAATTGGTTTATACTATTAGGTATATTTTTCCTATAACTATTAATATGAGGGGACCTTAGTACCTATCATTTTATAGATAGACTTTATTTTGTTTTTTTTTTAAACTATAGTTCCTAAATGCCATGCAAATGCCAATTATAACTTAAGTTTGTTTTAAGTTTAATAATACTTGAAAAATATGCAAAACCTAATCTTATCTATACTTGAGCGTCGATCTATATGAAATGTTAATGTTTGTATTTTGTAAACAAAACACTTTAAGGGAAGTGAAGACTATACTGGCAACGCCAAGTAGCACTCTAGTGTTGCTATCCTTTTGCGGAGGGCGGGAATATGACCGCACTCAAAATAGACTTGTCTTGAAGTTTTAGGCGATGGATCAGTAGACTGATGGCGAGCAATCGGCGCCTCCCGTTGACATCCGCATCACCGAAGAGTAAAAGAAGTTCGCTGCCAGATGCGCTTTCGGGGTTATTAGTGGAATGGAGGGGGGATAACTTGGAGGGCAAGATCAGGGCTTTAGTAACTTAACACTCTTTCTGTACCTAAGGGAGCAGTTCCATTGAGGTGGAGCGGAGCAGAGCGGAGAAGAGCTGTGCCGCGATTCACCAATCACATGGCTTGAAATCCATATTTCTAATGTGGATCCATCTCGAATGTGGATTTCAAGCCATGTGATTGGTGAATCCGCTCTGCTCCACTCCGCCACAATGGAACTGCACCCTAACAGATCGAGACAGCACGAATACGCGCAGCAGCATAAGCAAAGCAGTATTATGCTTTAAGTTCGTTTATAAATTTAATATTTGAAAATCTAGTATGAACATTATTATTTTGTGATGAACGTTCAAAACCTTATAAATTGATGGTGCACTTTGTTTCAAACCATTGTATTCTAGTCTGGAAGTGAATTAAAGTTCTATAAGAATTATTTGTTTTTTTTTTTCAATTCCACTACATTTAAGTCAAGTGGTCACAATAGCTGAGAGCTAAGTGGGAGCTTGCTTTTGCGTTAATTTGATTGACTTTTATGACATTCTGCGCCCTGATTGGCCTGCTTCAAGCTACTAATCAATCAGAGGCCTACACGCTGCAAGGTTTCGTTCGCGTTAACGTGAAGAAAATTCTTCTTCAAATAACTTCTCCCGCCCAAAAAGTCAAAGTCAAAGGATCTTTATATGTGAGTTGCAGGTCTTAACATTAAATTAAAGTATCAATATGTCCCGGGGTAGTTTTTCGTCAGTAAAAGTCCGATACTCCCTTCACCTCACTCTGGGCCAGAGAATTCGATTTTTTTTACCATCCATCTTCCTGCCCTTGTCCCGTTTTATTTGGGGTCGGCGCAATGTTTTTTTCTTTCATTCTGTCCTGTCACCCGTCACGCTATCGCTAACTCCTCTGTCTTCCATATCACTTCTCACACAATCCATCCATATTTTTTTTGATCTCACTCACCTTCTCCATCCATCCATATTTATACTCATGGCTTTTTTGTAACATGCGTTTCATCCCTCCTTTTTACATGGCCATACTAAGACAGACGGTTCCCTTTCAAGTTTTCAGTCACTGGCGCCACTTTCAAGCTTCCTCTAATGTAGGTACTAATTTCTCACTTTATGCATTCTCGTCACACCTCACATCCATCTGAACATTCTCATCTCTGCTACATGCAATCGCTTTTCATCCGTCTTTTTCAGAGCCCAACATTCTGCGACATATCTACAGTAGGACAGGCCTTATCACGGACTCGTAGATTTCACCCTTCAACCTGAGGGGCATCCGTAGGTCGCAAGTTGTTCCAATGACCTGTCGCCATTTCATACATCCTGAGTTGATCCGATGTGCCACGTCTCGGTCTATCTCACCATTCCCTTGGATAAGCGAAAATCGAAGGTACCCAAAGTACTGAAAATCGGAACAGGTTGGTATGGGCGTTCCAGCGAGAGCTATGGGCTGTGCCGTGCTGTGACTGGAGAGACCGCCAAAATCGCAGAATAATTTTTTACCGTTATAAAAATACATGTAGGTAGATGATCCTCAAAATACTGTTGTACTGTTGTTTAAATTAAAAATACCTAACTATTTTTATAGTCAAATAATATTTTCCAGAAATAAAATGGCCTACCTCTCTGTCTCAGGGTTATTCTTTTGTTTTAGTGAAATAAAAAACAACATTACCTATTCTGTATTTTCTGCTTGCTGATAGAAAATCCAGTCGCGGTCTGACGAAAAAAATAAAAACTGCTGAACTGGTACCTAGCGCCATCTATTGTAAATAACTAAGAACTTTAGGTAAGCTGTACTTACGATTGAGTTGAAAAGGATTGAAGAGTTTGGCGTTTTGCGATCACTAGACTACGCTACTGAACTGAAATTGGTTACAATACAAAAGAGCGATTTTTACTATATAGACTTGACATTAGACTTAAATGTGAAAAAATATAGGTATTATAACATGAAACTCTCTGTGCTTTCTGAAATACACCAGACATTGATATTCACACCCGATTCTTCGCAAAGAATGAAAGGTAGGTAGGTACTGTCGTTTTCATAACACATTTTGATCTTGCTCAAAAAATAAATTAGATCTGAACATAATGCCTATCTCAAGCACGAAAATCAGATTCTTCTCGGGACTAAGGTTATTTAATTAAAACAAATAATCAAAGCAGCCTAAATATATGCGACTTGTTAAATTAGAACATCATGCTGAATTAGAAACACTTCATTATTAAGTCGATTGCATGACAGTAGTACCTAAGTTATTTATTTATTTAAAAAAATAACACAAAATGCAGTAAATATGTACCTAGTAGTGGTCAATCGCAATGCTGTTTAATGAGAATCTTGGCCTGTTTTATTATTTAGTTTTTTGACTGAATGTTGTTGGCTTGATTTCTTGGGTGCCATCTCAAAGAAGTCTTCAATACATTCTTGAATAGGTACATAATTTAAACTTTCTTCAAGGGGTTTTCATTGCATTTCGCGTTGAAAATTTATGAAGCATGGATTTTCTTAGTTTACCAAGTTTTGTGTTTAAGGTTATTTTTGACGTTGGTCTTTCCAAAATTTAAAAAATTGTTCCGCGTCACTTAGATGTTCCCAGCAGAATGGAACCACTTCCCACATCACAAGGGCTGCAAGCGACAAATTTCTCAACGTTTTAAAAACTCGATCGCTAACTGGCATTGCATGACGACTATCATAGAGTAAAGTAATAATACTTATTAAATTGTATTGACGACTGTTGTCACTAGAGTGGAATTACGAGGCTCGTTTTGGTATTACCTATTTGTAAAAAAAATATCAGCCTGCTGTTAAGGTGAAAGTAATAATATAAAAAAATATTTAGAATAAATATTTTGTACCGTTATTTAATTGCTAAATTAGTCGATTTTGTTAAGTCTATTACTAAACGTCATTGTGTTGAGTGTGACGCATCTCTATAAACGTCAAACTCATAATTGCAAAATAAATCGTGGGAGGATCGAAGTTCTTTGTTTTCATTTCGATTTGTTTAAAGTTAACTTAAAGAAACAATTAATACATTTCATTTTCACGATATTATAGTGTTATTACGTATTAGTGACTCCGTATATCATTATAAGTTTGGATTTTGTACATGACGTAACAGAGAAAGGTTCGAGTACGATGAGTGACTCAAAGTCTTTCGTAAACTTTTCGTGTCAACGATGTTTGCAGCCACTGAAGCTGGACGAGTCCCTGAACAACTTGGGAGAGCACACGATAGCGGACTTAGCGCTTCAAATACGTCGCAATAATGAGGTCGACTTAGATATGCAATCAACAAGCTTGGAACACTACGTACCACCGTTTCGGATGTCAGAATCAGGTAACGGCGCAAATGGGTTTATGGTGATCTCAGACGGCTGGGAGACGACCTCCTTGGGCCACCAGCTTCATGTTAAAGCTACCCTATTCGACCTTTTATCAAATAATTCAGATGTAGACCATCCATTGTGTGATGAGTGCACAGATACTTTATTAGAGTTAATGGATAACCAGCTACGTCAAACTGAGGCTGAATGGAAAGATTACAACGACTATTTAAAAAAGCTAGAGGATGACAAAGAGGATTTGAATTTGGAAGGATTGGAGAAGGAATTAGGAGATTGGAAGCAGGAACAGAGCCGCTTACTACAAGAATTGTCTGCTTTACAAAAAGAAGAAAAGGCTATGAAAGAAGAGATTGATGTCCAAGAAAGAGAAAAAGAGAGATTAGAAAAGGAACAAGATGTTTATTGGAGAGAGTACACAAGATATCGGAAAGATTTGATGACTATTGAAGATCAGATGAAGTTTTATGAATGCCAACTTACATACACACAGTCTCAGCTTGAAAAGTTAAAGAAAACAAATGTATTTAAGGCTACATTCCACATTTCGGACTCTGGTCAGTTTGGTATTATAAATAACTTCAGACTTGGCCGTTTACCGTCTGCACCAGTTGACTGGTCCGAAATCAATGCAGCTTGGGGTCAAACCGTGCTCCTCCTTGCATCTTTAGCAAGAAAAATAAGCTTCAACTTCCAACGTTACAAGCTTGTACCGTATGGGAACCACTCTTACATAGAAGTGTTGGAAGACCAGAAAGTATTACCATTATATGGCTCTGGAGGCTTCCGTTTCCTGTGGGACACAAAGTTT